GCGCAAAATAATAAAAAAATATACCGTATTAATTTACAGTATATACAGTATATACAGTAGATTATTTTTATCATAGAGTTAATTGTCAATGATATAAATCAGTTGATTGCTGCAATTGTTTTAGTTATTATTTAATCATTTCCTTATACTTCCTGAATTTATCGTGTTACCGTGGGCGTTGGGACATATTGACTACAACAACAACAAAAAAACTTAATCACATTTTCATTGTAAACAAAATGTACTTGTATATTCTTCGGTTACAATGCATTTTGCAATCATCAATCCAACCTTTTCTAGCAATATCAGAGGGGATCGTTAAAATTCAGCAAAGTTTTCGGGGCATTATACCGAGTAAATTAAATTCAGGCTTCCAGAAACCTTTTGCATATCCAACCATTAAATTGAAAATGAAAATTATTCCTACATGGGCCTTGCATTAATGATCCTATGAAATCAAACTTGTACATATATAGTCTTGTGCCGAAATCTTCACTAAGTTTAGTCCCGCGACCGTGTAACCTGATTTGAAAGAAAAACCCAAATTTTAGAATCTTTTACACTTAATTCTTCAACGAATTGTCATCAACAAATTGGACTTTCAGATTCACCCACAAACGATAAATTCACCCTCACATATGCGGATACATCTTAGATTGTACCGAACAGTAATAAACCAAATATTGACCATGCAGTCGATTACTCGGGATTCAAGGAAGCGTATGTTCAAATACTTGTTTATAACGTTCTTGGTGTTTGCCGTCATAGATTACATTTTTCTATCACTGAAACGATCGCGCTATAAGAGTGAGTGAGTAACCTCGATTTTAGGATTTTCATTTTTTCTCTTCGTCGAAAAAGCCGTCGTTAAATCCTAATCCTTTGTTCCTCACAAAATATCCATTCATATTTCAATACAGGAGCGTTGAACCTGTCATAACTCAGGAACCACCACAAAATAATTTTGACCAAGACCGTTCCCTAGACCTCAAATATTGCGGTTACAAAGATTGTAAATTCCTATTCGCCTACTACCCATCAAACAGGAATGGCAAAATCAATTCTAATTACATTGACTATATCAACATCGCTCGTTTACTGGGCCGTACTATGGTCTTAACAAATGTTGATTTTGGACGTGTAAGCGCCTGTCAAGAATTTCCATTTGATCTCTATTTTGATGTAAATTCATTATCTCAAAGATTTCCAGACGTGAAGTTTATTACGCAGTATGATTTTCAACAATGGTCTATATTGAAAAGTCAGAAGCCCACTGTTTCGCATGTTTATATCACTGACGGCGGCGCCACAAACTCGGTGGAAAATCTGGCACCATATTCGGATATGCTGAAGCGTATGTGGTGTTTAGATAAATTTGGATTTAAACTTGACGATACCAGTCGATTCGAACAACTACGTGCGAGTTGGAACAGTTGGACAAATCAAACTGGTCGCAAGAAATTACAGTCATATATAATTTCGAATTTGCAGCACGATGAGGATGTTTTATTAGTGAGAAGTGATGTAAGGGAGCCCTTGTTTTATAGAAAACATGCAAAGATGAATTATTCGAGTTATATTGTGGACGCAGCGGATAAGATCACGAATGGACTGAGGCCATATTTAGCCATACACTGGAATTTGGAAAATGTAAACTTAGAGTCTTTGGGAGAATGTGTGAAGAGGTTGGTGACGAAAGTGCAAAAATTGATCGATAACTCGAGGATTGAAAATATTTACATGTCCACTGACTATCCGCTGTTTGATGTTCCCATTGAAAAGTCGGATGAGAGCGAACAAAAATCTCATTGGACTACCTCACCGGCTTATCACACTGCCATCAATCTACTAAAGTCCCAGATCTCATTAAACAATTGGGAGTCACTTAAGGTTTTTGACCATCTAGAGGTAGAACTAAAGGATAAGTACCAAAATGTCAAAGAGATAAAGCAGGCAATTATAGATACTGGGATTAACCGCATAGTAGATCGAATGGTCTGCGTGCAGGCTGATTGGTTTGTAGGAATACCAAAGTTTCCTTGTGGTGCCCTATTGGACGTTAAAATAGCTAAGGCGATTGTAAATGAACGGATAGTATTGATGAAAGAGGGACATCCTAATATTAAGAACAATGTTACCAAGTTTTAACATTGCAATTGACAGAGATCGCGTTGCCA